AGCTCCAAACTGCACTATTAGCTTCACAAATTTCATATTTTACTGCTTTTACTGCATTTTTCCCATCATCCTCCACTGCTGAACTAGCCGCAATTTTTACTGACATCTTAGTTTCTCTGAATAGATGCCAAGTCAATATCTTCACTGATTCTTATACTGTTATTTCACAATTCAGCAAGTATAAACTCCTGTCAACTATATCTTCGTCTGAAAAACCTTTTCTCAAAATTGTCAATGTTCATATTTGGTAATGCTTATTTCAAACTATCAAAGATTCATCGATTAAGATTAAATTAAATAAAGTCAAAGCACATTCAGGTACTACCTATAATAAAGCTGTGGACTTACTAGCAAAAGGCTCCTTAAATACTTTCGCTCTTAACTTCATCACCAATGATCAATGGCATACTTCTTTATACTATAATAAGATGGCAATTGCTTTACCCATCAGGCAATTTATTAAAAATTTCACGCAAGCAGAGACTTTCTCAGCATTCTTGAATCTCAACATCATTCAAAAATATCTCAATCTGGATATTGATTGGATAGCCACTATATTTTGTATAAAAGACAACATTGCCTCTAACGCTACCTATTATGAAGCCTCTGCCTTGTTAAAAAAGAAACTCCAAAGGATTCTCAAAATGTTTCCTACTATGGAAACTCTTAAAAAGCGATATCTACTAATTTTTGATAACTCACAAATGTGCGTTCGCTGTGACACTGATGTAGAAGATTTTGCTCACATATGGACTTGTCCACTTGTATTACACAAAACTCATCTGATTATTAAAAATGCCAAGGTGTTACTCTGCAATATTATTCAAACTGATCCTCTGGACTTGCGGATCAATCAACTTAATATTTAGTCCTTATCTTCGACATCACCGCTCTCATTCATTGATTTGATTAAAGGTTTTATTCCCTCCGCTTTAGTTACATTAGCCTTGTCGTTTCTGAACACTAAAGATGCTACTAATGCAGCACTTTCCAATTTTATGCATTTCAGATATAAACAATCACAAGAGATATGGATTGATCGGTGTTCAATGTTCAAAGAATATGAATCTGCCAACAGTATAATGAATGCTTTAAAAAAATCTAGTACTAATAGTTCAGGATATGGTTCACAATTACCAATCTCACTGTAAATGCTATAACGTCGATTAATAATATAGTTCGATAGGGAACCCAATGGATAAATTTTTGGTGCAGTAGGGGCCAAGCCCTTTCCTTTTTCTGATTACTAAAATGTAAAAACATGGTTCTGATTGTGTTAGATTCTGGAAATGCAGGGTCAGTCTTGATTTAAATAGATTCATGATTATTTAGATAGAGATGTTCGTTAATTCTGAATTTAATTTTTATTATTATTTTTCAATAAAGTTTTGTGAAACTACCGCACTTAAAAAAAAATATATATAAAAAAAAGGATTAGCAATCCTTGCTCAGTGGTTAAGCCACGAGCCCCTATTAAGCTAAAGTTTCATTACATAGCAATAGGCCATGGTTCAGGTATCGTGCGATACATAAAACTATATGATTTTCCATAAGGAATTTCTTTGTAACTGAACAAGTAGGCGTATATACTAATATGTGTTAGATTTTGGTTGATCGATCTGTCGATCAATGTTGATCATGCCTAAATACTACACGGCGTAAGAACAAATAGATGCAAATGAAATCAAAGATTGACAGAAACTTGGCTATCACTGATTGGTCTGTAATGGATACAGTCTTACGTCTCACCCGGCAGGGCCCTTATTTCCGTATATGATCATAAGATTGTATATAAATTAAGGAAGTGATTGATCAGAAATTAGTAGATTAAATCAACGGTAATAATAAACTGCATTGCATGCTACAGCATCATCTAATCAAGCATATCATTGGGTCTGAGGTTAGGTTCGATTCCTAAGATGTTTGTCGATATGGCTTGATCATCACCCCCGTTAGTTACCCATTTGGGCAAATCTTGTAATAATAATCCCATGAATCCTGCGGCATTAATTGGGTAAGAGTATACTCTAGCAAGGTATATGGTGTAATGGATTTCTCAGTCCTTTAGTGATATGTGATCCCAGATAGCTAGTAACCGACAGGGGGGGTCAAATCTTCCTAATGGGCTTAATTCTAGCAACAGCATCACTAAGAGCGATGGCAATATCTGGACCAATTACAATGGTGTAGGTTGCTAATAACAGAAATGACCGGCGAAGACCTAAGGGTGAGGTTGACAATATAGGATACTTGTGATCCTTAGTCTTAACGTCTCATCTAACACTACGTACTGAAATTAAAAAAAAAAAATAAACAAAAAAAAAACTCTTTCTCAATTTCTACAATGGCACCTAAGAGAAAGAACTTCAAACAACGAGGTCGCTCAGCGTCTTCATATAGCAATAATAACACTTCAAAAAGTTCTACCAAAAAAATAAATCTAACGCAAACAAAGGACAATATCCCAACACCAAGTAACTCAACTACAGTCGTTTCTCCAGAAACTATGGAAGTCGACCAAACACCTTTTGACAAAGGAAAAAACAAAGAAGAAGATATTTTCAAACAACGCTTAACGCTGACGAAACTTATGATCTCTCTGAAAATATTCTTGATAACAACAATAAGTCATCACAAGCTTTCAACTGACCAAAGTCTACTTTTCACGCATCTTTCCTACTTAACAATATTCCTGGAAAGTCACCTCAACAAAAGTTTTCTTTGTTGTTGACCTACTCTTCGACGCCTACAATTCATTCACTGGCGTAGTAGCTACAAAAAAACCTTGAACTAATTAGAACGCACTATCAAGATTTCCTTTCATAACAAAGACCACCGAGATCACGCATGTACTGTTGATTTACCCGGTATGAAAAATCACATGTTCTCACCCTTGGAAATCATCACACAACATTTGTACGTTCCATACCAATCAATTAAAGTCACGGAGATACCCCTAGATGCTACTGAACACAGAATCAAAATGATTTTCTCTAAATTTGGAAAGATCGTCAGATTTTTTATGGAAATCAAGAATCTTTGGCAACAAGCCACAATCACTTATAGTAATGACACTGACTTTAAAACACTAAAAAACAAATACAGGGTTTTTGTTCTTAATTACATGGTTAGATGCCATATGTGTGATTTATTTCGTGGTGATATTCTTGCAAGGTCAAAATTTTCAGCTAAACTTGCCAGTCTCCCTATGGTAAACAACTTGCTGATATTGGACACATAGTCAATGCTATCTCCTGGATTATTCCTAAAGCATGATTGAACTACCACAATTTCCAACACGTCTTCTTTTACTTCAAATCAGCTGATGATGTTGAAACTACAATCAGTAATAAAAATCTTACAATCAACAATAAGCACGTGACTTGGACAGGATCAAACGCTAAATTATGTGCTATTTGCTCTTCACCTAACCATAAAGTGAATGACTGTTCCAGAAAATATAAGTCACCTTTCGACCGCAATATGCAACAATTCTACCAACGATTTCAGCCCGCACAATATAATAATTACAGAACTCCCATAAAGGTATCAAAGGTGCAGTGAGTCCAAATGTCACTTTCGCTCACGTGACAAAAACTTTGAAATCTGAAAAAAACAAAACAGATCAATAACAAAAATCTCCTAATGGATCCTCTCCTGGACACCAAAAGAATCTTAACAAACAAGATGCATCAGAACCACCACTATTATCATGGTTTGATGATATTCCTAATGACTTATATAATACATCTTACCAAAATTCGACTACCTATACCTCACTGAATGATGTCAATAACAGTATCAAAAAAGGAGGCTCCATGCATGCAAATAATGATGAAGATTTTAAATCCTTTGTCAGACAACAATTTTCAGCTCTCAATGATAATATGTCGATTTGATTAAGAATTTGAACTTCACCATCACAAGAGTTAAAGCTGTTGAAGATTCCTTACAATTCAAAGTTGTCACTCCTCTTGAAGCGAATATCAAAAACTGCGATTCTAAAACCATAGAATTTGATGAAGTTGAACCTTCCGTTAATACATCATTATCTATCATCACCTAACAACGAAAAATGATTGAAGGACTTAGGAACCTCAACGAAATGCACTAGCACAGAATAAAATCTTTTACAACTACAGTTAATAATTTAGTCAAATTATGTGTTACATTTCAGTCCATTCTCATACAGAACGATATGCTTCCCAAGGACTTAGCCAATACATTATTTCACTCGGAGATGCTTTCGATAGTGATATTAGAAACTATCTTAAGGATCTACCTTCCTTTTAAATCCGTTCCTAATGAATACTGTCCTACAGATAATTTTACACAAGATGTACACTTTGACACAAACAATGACATTACTTTCTCTCCCCCAATTATTTTCTTGGCATCACAAAATGTTCGCTCTTTTACTAACATTGCTAAACAAAACTCACTTATTGAATTTTATTCTTCTTTAAATTATATATTATTGGTCTTTAAGAAACTAATTTTTCTCATTCTTCAATCAGATCCTTTAATAGCACGTTTTCATCAACCTATATAGGCTTCTTCAGACTGCCTTCAAATTCTCCTTGTCAAAAAACTGGCTTTGGCGTCAGATTATTGGTTCGCCTTTATTTGGCAAACCATATTTTTCATCATGAATCCAAACACAACCATATCTTAATAATCGATTTGCAATTCAACAACAAACAAAAACTAAGAGTTATTAACTGCTACCTCCCACTGGGCAACCTCTCTCGTAGAAAACCCATACAAACTGATCTCATTAGATACCTTAGAGAGGCGATTTCAAATAATTTTCACCTGATACTCCTTGGAGATTTTAATATAGATATGGATAATCCTAAGTTACACTCACAAGATAAAACTTTCTTTTCTCAACTCGACCATTTGCATTTATTTGACACATTCTCAGTTAAATATGACTACTCTCGAATTAATTATCCTACTCATCAAAGTCTTATGTCGAGATCACAAATTGATTATATTTAATCCTCAGCTGAAGTTGTTTCTAATTTTACGAGTTGCGAAGTCATAAATGTTGATCTTTCTTTGTCTGACCATTCTTTGGTCACCTTCAGTGTCGAAAACTTCTTGGGTGACTTTTAGTAATAAAGTAAATGCTTTGGCTAATGGATGCTACTTGCGAAGTCTCACCAACAAATCCTTCTTCAACCAGAATAAACTGAATCAATACTGGGACATACTATAAGAATGCATTTTAAAAGCAGCAGATTCTAAGATTCCTTCACATCAATCCAAAAGACATCATTCAATAAAAAGACCTCCACTCTTATCGAAATTATATAAGAGGATGAAATTTTTATATAAATTAAAAAAAGTAGTTAAGGATATTCTGGCCAATTCAATAGTCTATCCTAAATAGTCACCATTAATTGAAGAATTCTATACACTTTTAAACGAGTTCAGCGTACCATATGTCTGTCTACCTCCTTTTCTAACTGTTGTCATTACATAATCAATACAGTTTATATTGATCTCTTGCTATGCCAGTTTTTGTTGAAAGCTAAGTTATACAAACAAGATTTCAAACTCAAATCAATTCAAATGGCCATTGAAATGAGATTGGAGAATTACCAACTTTCTCCTGCTCATATGGCAGATTCTCTTTTGAACTAACACAAATGTACGATTATTATCGATTATTGCTTCAATAATGATTCTTCATCATGTGACCTATTAACTAATGACCATAAAGTTAAAAATGAAGTTGCTCGTCATTTTCAAATGGCATCAGGCACTTGTCATGGAAATGTACCTTTGAATGATGTATAGCGTCCCTTTTATCAACTACTCGAAAATGTCAATGCGGCAATTTATGATAACCTAATAGTTCCCCATCGGCTGAAGAATGGTATGATCTAATTGCTCATCTTTCAAATGGCAAAGCTCCAGATCAATCAAAGTATCTAACGAGATGCTTAAACACCTTGGCCCAATTACCAAAAAACTGCTCTGGTATATTATATGTGAATGTTTAGCTATTTTATTAGTACCTCATCACTGGAATTACGCGTTCATTTACCTGATTCCAAAACCCAAACTGTGAAAGTATGAATTAAATAATACTCATCTCATAATATTACTCGAGTGCCCTCGCAAAGCACTTATCAAGCTTGTTAATCAACGACTCTCAATGATTTTAGTATAACATAATATTTTAAAAGGACTGAACTTTGCTGGTCTTCCATTTAAATCCACTTTCGAACCATTACATATTATTGACAATGTCAAATACGATGCTACTCATAACAAGAAGGACCTCTGCATCTTATTACAAGATATGTCTAAGGCATACGATCGTGTCAACATTTTTATGCTTATAAGTGCTTTAGAAAGACTTCACATTCCCTTCAACTTTCTTAGGTTTATTTTAAAAATTTTTGGTAACCGGCATAATCAAGTGTTTACTTCTTTTGGTAATACCAACTCATATCGGGTCATGTCAGGTATTGACTAAGGAGAAATCATACCACCTCTTTGTGGTGTATATATTACAATCCTCTCTTGTGCAGAATTCAAAACTCTTCACACGATTACTCACTTTTACATACTTGGAAACCAAATATTTTGCTCAATATTACTGAATCAACAACCATAAAAGTATTGACACTCACATATATAGATGATATATTGTGGATCGCTAGATCTCATGAGGATCTCACAACTATCATTGAAATAGCAGAAGATTTCTACAAATTGAACCATATTAAAGTCAACTGGGAAAAGTCAGTTCTCTTGACCAATAAAGCCAAAGATAGACAAACTTTTACGTGTATTACAAATAGCTGTCTTACCAACATCAATCCACTGCTATTCAATGAATCAATTAGATACCTGGGAGCTTGGATCTCATTGGGACGTAACAAAACTTTCACCATTAGAATGTTCAAGAATAATATAAAAAATGCTACAACTGTCATGTTCAAAAAGAAAATGACTGACAAACAAATGGTGTATATTTTCAACACAGTCCTTACCCCAAGGTTTGAATATCGTGTCCAATTGACCGCTTTGATAATTGCACAATGTGATTTGCTCGACTCTCCATACCATGCGTTTATAAAAAAGAAGTTGCATTTTTCACGTGACTCACTGTCCTCTGTGCTTCACTCGGGTCAGTTTTATGGTCTCATTAAACTGCATCATTGTTTACTTGCAGCACAGAGTGAAGCATTACTCTTTTTGCTCAATGATAGTAATCTCCTAGAAGTTACTACACGCTTATATATCAAACAATTATAACAAAAAGAATGGCTTCATATATCACCACTCTTCAATTGGCCATATTCTCGCTACCTGAATTCGAACGATTGGATAGCAAACTTATTATGTAATTGGAAAAGCAATTAAATTTCTGCTCAACTACCTGACGCAGACTCAGGTCTTATTAAAGGAGGAAGCACCACCATATTTTCTTTAATTCCTAATGATTTTAGATCTATCACCACAAATCTTAGAAAATACTCACTCTTATTCGTTGAACAACTTGTTTTTTCAAAAGGCGATATTATGTTGACATTTGATGATCTAAATGTTCAACAGGGCTTGCCTCTGACAGGATGTATACTTCGCTGGTTTAAATTGCTCCAAAACAGACTCTTGCTAATAGCGATTCTAGAATTACCAATGTTTCTTATCCACACCCAAATAATTGTAAATACAATTTTTCTCTACCTAACAAGATTGCTGGCCTTAAAACTTTCGTTCTAGGATGGAATTATGGTCAAAATAAACCTTTTATTGGTAAATTACTCAAAACAGAAGAACATTTTACGCATATTTTTCATATGTACTGACTAATGGACCTGAGAGTAGAACTATACTTTCTGACTGCATTCGCTACACTATGTATGACAGACAGGCATATGTTCCAAATCATACTACTTACAAAGATTAAAAATGTTTTTTTATTGTTCCTATCAATCTTTGTTTCAAGATTCCAATGAATTATAATACTTGTAATTCAACATATGGTTGCTCTTGATCCATCGATCTACTAAATGAGTTAGCTTATTCATTTATTAAACTTCATAGTGTTTTACAACCTCCAACATCTGCATTAGATTTTATTTCTCCTCTCCCTCCTACTTTTATAGAAAAAATTTATTCCTCTATCACATTCTCATTTATTATTAATGATTCGTTCCCAATTCACCTCCTGCACTTTTTTAGAATTTTATACAGATGGTTTCTTAAAAGACCTCAGCTCATCCTCAATTCAAATGGGTTTATCTTGGCTCCAAACGGCACCTTCTACTTCAATGATTTCTTATTCAACAGCCTTTACAGCATCTTTTCCTTCTTCTTCAGCTGCAGAATTAGCTGCCATATTTACAGCAATTTTGGTCACTCCAGAAAGGTGTCACATCAAAATCTTTACTGATTCAAACTCTGTAATCTCACAGTTTTCCAGATATAAACTACTGTCAGTGATTTTACCATCTAAATGGCCTTTCCTCAAAATTGTCAACGTTCACATTTGGCATTGTATCTTTCAAATCATCGATATATTGACTTTAAAGATATCTATGATCAAGGTTAAAGCACATTCAGGTAACCTCTATAATGAAAAAGTAGATCATCTAGCAAAGACATCTTTGGATTCCTCAGCACTATATCTTAACATTAATGATTTGTCTCATATGACACTCTACTACAACAATTTGGCTATTGCCTCTCCAATCTGACAATTCATTAAGACCATCAACAGAGCCAAGATGTTTACTACTTTCTTGAATTTGGATATTAACTCCAAATACGCTAATATAGACATTGATTGAAACTCCACCGCTCTTTGCATTTCAGATAATGTTGCCTCAGCTGCTACCAATTACAAAGCTTCTACTTTCAAAAGGAAAAAGATCCAACAGATGTTAGAAATGCTTCCTACACTTGAAGTATTAAAAATACGACACCCACTTTTATTTGATTGTGCTAAATTGGGTATCAGGTGTGAAATGGAATTAGAAAATTTTGCACATATTTGGACTTGCCCTATGGTACTTCACAAAATACAATGTCTCGTTCGAGACTTCCAGTTGTTACTCAGTACCATCACGCATAACGAAATACAAATTCCTGATATCTAACATTTGAATATCTGGTCCCTCTTGAACTCAGCGCACTTCTCATTTATAGATTTAATCAAAGGTATTATTCTTTCAATATTATACAACATCATCCATCAATCACTCACCTCTAAAGAAGCTACCGAAGCTGCATTGTCATCCTTCATGCATTTTATTTTTGAACAATCTAACAACATTTGGAAAGATCATTGCTCACAATTTAAAGATGTTAAAAAGTCTTACGAAATTATTAACAGTTTAAAAAGGTCTCTCACTGAGAGTTCTGGCTACTACTTCTCTATGACTAATCAAACATTAGAGCCTCACAAGATTGTAGATAAAATGGTCCGTTTAGGATCTCATTAGACAAATTTTTGGTGCCGTAGGGGTCAAGTCCTTTTCTGTTTCTAATTGCTAGAATATGATGACATAATTTTGGTTGTGTTAGATTCTAGAAAAGTGCAAGATCGGTCTTGATTTAGATAGTTTCATGATTATTTAAATAGAAATTTTTGTTAATTCTGATTATATGTAATTTTAATTTTATTATTATTATTTTTCAATAAAGTTTTAGCGAAACTACCGTACTTTAAAAAAAAAATAAACAAAAAAAGAATAAACTTTATCTTTTTCGTTCCTCGACAAAATTTCTTATTAAAAATATTTGGTCATTTATTTAAAATGTATAATT